AAGTTTCTTTTAGATTTATTTATCCTGCTTGAGCAGAGGGCTGGACTAGAAGACCTCCAAGGTCCCTTCCAGCTCTATTCTTATATTCTTATTTTATTCTTAACAACTGTGTTTCTAAGGGATTCCATACCTCCTTTATTCTAAACAACTATCTTTTTATTTTTTTAAAAAAAGTTTCCTTTAGATTTATTTATCCTGCTTGAGCAGAGGGCTGGACTAGAAGACCTCCAAGGTCCCTTCCAGCTCTATTCTTATATTCTTATTTTATTCTTAACAACTGTGTTTCTAAGGGATTCCATACCTCCTTTATTCTAAACAACTATCTTTTTATTTTTTTAAAAAAAGTTTCCTTTAGATTTATTTATCCTGCTTGAGCAAGGGGCTGGACTAGAAGACCTCCAAGGTCCCTTCCAGCTCTATTCTTATATTCTTATTTTATTCTTATTTTATTCTTAACAACTGTGTTTCTAAGGGATTCCATACCTCCTTTATTCTAAACAACTATCTTTTTATTTTTTTAAAAAAAGTTTCCTTTAGATTTATTTATCCTGCTTGAGCAAGGGGCTGGACTAGAAGACCTCCAAGGTCCCTTCCAGCTCTATTCTTATATTCTTATTTTATTATTAATAACTGTTGAGGACTTATTTCTTAGGGGTTCCATACTTCCTTTATTCTGAACAACTATCTTATTTATTTTTCAAGTTTCCTTTAGATTTATTTATTTTGCTGGTACTTTCTAGCTAAACCTTTCAGCTCAGATATGGAAGTAAAACAAAAAACAATGGGTGCATGAATCAAAAGACCTTATTTTGACTTTTTCTCAGCTGGCTTCTGGCAATTTTCAGAAACAAGGGATGTCTCCATCTAGAGGCTAAAAGCTACCCGAGTTTATAGGCCAAGGATAAAATAGATGTGAATGTTATTGTGCAATTCCGATGCCTCGTCCCTGGAATTTTATAAGGGGTCCAGATAACTTGTAACTTTCTTGCACTTTCTCCGTACTTTCTCTTCTGTTCTTTCTTCTTCTTTTAAAAAAAAAACTATTTCCAGCCAAAAATGCATCGGAAAGGAAAGAGAACAATGGTTTGAATGCCGTAGAAACTAAATCAGCATCCTTAAAAACAATTTTATCCCTTCCTCCCTTCTAACAAAAAAAAAAATCTTTTATACCATTTAGAAAACTTTTATTCTTGGCTTCAGGAGATAAATATTTAAAAAAATAAGTGGCCAAGCTTAGTTTGGCTTATTAAAAAAAGGAGAAATTTTGCTGGTTTCTATTTGTGCTATCTACATATGTGCTAGTCGTTCCTGACTATAGGGGGCAGTGCTCATCTCTGTTTCAAAGCCGAAGAGCCAGCGCTGTCTGAAGACGTCTCCGTGGTCATGTGGCCGGCAAGACTCAACGCTGAAGGCGCATGGAATGCTGTTCCCTTCCCACCAAAGGTGGTTCCTATTTTTCTACTTGCATTTTTTACCTGCTTTCGAACTGCTAGGTTGGCAGAAGCTGGGACAATCATGGGAGCTCCCTCCGTTATGCAGCGCTAGGGATTCGAACCGCCGAACCACCAACCTTTCTGATCAACAAGCTCAGTGCCACTGAGCCCCCACGTCTCATATTAGAGTTAAGACCACTGATTAATTTTCTGATGATTTATGATTAATAACTGCCACGGACTTATTTCTAACAGGCTCCCTTATTGTAAACAAAAAAAAAATCTTTTATTTTAGAAAAACGTTCCTTTAGACCAGTGTTTCTCAACCTTGGCAACTTGAAGATGTCAGAACTTCAAGTTGCCATGGTTGAGAAACACTGCTTAAGACATATTTGTTTTCGTGGTTTTTCCCGCAAAGCCACATTATAAACACAATTATTATTGTTGTTGTTATTTTTCCTTATGAAAATATGTGACTTAAAGGCACCCCATGTGCTAACTTGGCTCAGCCTTAACAGAAATCCTGCTGATTCAAACGGGGGCCAAATGGCTGGAAAATTGCCCCCCCACCATTTTACAGAGAAAAGGGACTGAAGCCGAGCCGGACTCACAAAGTGGCACACAAAAACCCCACACTTTGCAGAAAGGCGGGGAAAACTGCACAGAGCTTTTAGTCGCGCTGGCAATTGGCATCCTCCGAGCTAATCCTATGCAGCCTCTTTTCTATTTATGCCATGAATTCTTGTTGGAAACTCTTCTTTGCAGCGTTGTGGAGTTTTGTTTTTCTCTGAACGGAAAAACAGTTTCCAAAGAGCCTCGGGAGAAACTGAGGACTCTTTGGGGGTGTTTGTTCGCCCTCTGCCCTCCAGGGTTTGTCCTCGCCCAGGGGGAGGGGGCTTCACGCCCCCCCCACCCTCCCCAATTCAGATTTTCGCTTCCTAGCTGCAAATCAACCCAACTTTCCCCTCCGAGAGCATTGACTGTGGTTTTAGTTTTTGTTTTAAAAAAAATATCTGATAGGCTTTTTGCTTCTTGCTTCTCTCATTCTGTTCTCCCTATCGCGAAACTTTGCAGCTGACGCATTAATTGCAACTCTCTGCAAGCCGCAGGACTCCCACGCAGGTGGCGGGAGGGGCCCTCCATCCCGCTGCACTCTTTGCAGATGGAAAGAGGCATCTCGGGTGGGAAAACAGGACACACACACACACAGAGATACCCACACAGAGAGTGAGACACCCGCCCACACACCCACACACCCACACTCTCATACACACACTTTCTCTTCTGCCTCTGGTTGGCTCGGGGTATTTGCATCCACCTGGTTCTTAGACAGCTGGGTTTTTAAAGGGGGAGGAGAGCTGACATCCTGTAAATATTTGCCTGCCTTTTCCAGAGCAATTACATCCCTCGGCTAAGATGCGGCAATTAAATACTGTTTTGTTTTGTTCCGAGCAATCTTGACCAGGCATGGAAGGAGGCCCGCTCAATTTGCTTGTGGTGGTTTCAGATTCCTGGGTGGAGTTGTGGGTTTTATTTTTTGCCGGTGGAAAGGTGGTTAGATGAGAGGGCGGGGGAGGCAGACGAGGGAAGAAGGAAGTAAAAGGAGAAGAAAGGAAGAGAAGGAAAAAGGAGAGATTTGGAAGGAAGGAGGGAGGGAGGAAAAGGTGAAAGGAGAAAGGAAGGAAGGAGGAAAAGAAAAGGAAGGAAGAGAGGGAGGGATTGGTGGAGGAGAATGGAGGCAGGGAGGAAGGAAGGAGGAAAAGGGAAGGAAGGGAAGGAGGGGTTGAGGGAGGGAAGGAGAAGAGAGGGATGGAGGGGCGGAGGAAGGAAGGGTGACAAGAAAAAGAGAAGGAGGGAGGAAGGAAGGAGGAAAAGGGAAGGAAGGGAAAGACCAATTGAGAGAGGAAAGGAGGGAGGAGAAGGGAGAGAGGAAGGGATTGAGGGAGGAAAAGATGAAAGGGGAAAAGAAGGAGAAGAAAAGGGAAAGAGGGAAGGAAGAGGGAGGAAGGAAGGAGGAAAAGAAAAAGGGAAGGAAGAGAAGGAGGGGTTGAGGGAGGAAAGCAGAAGAAAGAGAGGGAGGGCAAGAGGAAGGAAGGGGGGAAGAAAAAGGGAAGGAAGGGAAGGAGCAATTGAGGTAGGAAGGTAGGAAGGACGAGGGAAAGAGGAAGGGAAGGATGGATAGAGGGAGGGAGGGAGAAAGGAAGGAGGGAAGGAAGGAGAAGGGAAAAAGGAAGGGAAAGAGGGATTGAGGGAGGGTGGGCAAAAGAAAGGAAGGAGAAGAGAAAGAGTGAAAGGGAAGAAGGAAGGAAAGAAAGAGAGAAGGGAAAGAGAAGATTTCCCGAAGTGTAATATTTCATAATGTAATGTTGTTGTTGTCATTATTATATTGTATTAATGCATTATTAAACAGTGTACTGTTTAATAAAGGAATTCGATCCTGAGCATTATCGGCAGAAGAGAATGAATCAGGCAGTCAATCAAAAATTATATTTGCTGAACTGTGGCTTTGCTTGAACAAGGCATTGCACCGAATAAGCACCGTAGGCTGGGCTTGCTGAGACCAAATCCAAGGATTCGCTCTATGGCTTGGGGTCCGGTGCCCCTTTTTTCTATCCAACCCACTTTTAGCAAGAATTTCTGACTGAGGTTCAAGCTAGCACTCACTCCACTAACACCACCACTGAATCAAGCAGCCATTGTTTACCGTGTGTGGTCCCCATAGGAGCGTCTAAAAAAATGAGGTTACCGTATTAGTATAGTATAAGGCGCTCCGAAGTATAAGATGCACCTAGCTTTTGGGGAGGAAAACAAGAGAGAGAAAAAATCTACCTCTGTCTCGCAGCAATTTGCTTCCTTGCAGCAAACAGCCTGTTTCAGTTTCATCACAGCCTGATTAGCACAAGCAACTGATTGTCGGTTGGATTGGCCTCCCGACGATCAGCTGTTTCAGCCTGCAGGGATTGCCATAGCCTATTGCCGCCTCCGCGCACCCCATTTTCAGCCTCCGCATCCTGTTTTCAGTGTGCCCCATTTTCCACCCGTTCCAGGCGGTGGGGATCAGAAGGGGTGGAAAATGGGGCACACGGAGACAGCAACAGGCAGTGGCAATCCCTGCAGCCTGAAACAGCTGATGATCGGGAGGCCGATCCAACCGACAATCAGCTGTTTCTGCTAATCAAGCTGTGCTGAAGCTGAAACTGAAACAGGCTGTTTGCTCTTTGCTGCAAGGAGGCAAATTGTTGGGAGGCAGAGGCCAAAGGTGGGGGGCCGGCAGGTGGGTGGGGCTACATTCAGTGTATGACGCACCCACATTTTCACCCTTTTTTAAGGGGGGGAAGTGCGTCTTATGCTCCAAAAAAATTACAGTAATTGCCTAGAAAAAAGTGTGCTATTTGGGGTGCCCAGTTCACAGCCGAGACCAGTAAATGATCCTTTGGGGTTCACTGTGTCCCATGAATGAAAATGTTGTCCTTCCTCACTACTCCAGGTGGAGTAAGAGATCTTGCATGGCGGTTGCAAAACCTTCTGCAGACGTTCGGAGAGAAGCGCCAGCCCACCTGAACTCACCTGGAGGGAGTTCAGCATGATGAAGATGTAAGCCCAAGTCACGCTCAGGTGGACGAGGATGCCGCACACCCAGGTGAGGCCCAGGACAGGGAGCAGCACCAAGATGGGTTTGGTGGTGGCCCTGAAAACGGAGCAGAAGAGGAAAACGGTCGGCCTCTTCCCAGCTGAGCCTGAAAAAACTGGACTCGGTGAATCTGAGCCGGGTTCATTTGGGGCAATTTCTCCATCTCCATTTCTCTGTGTTTGGTGGAAAGATGCTCGTGTTCTAATCTCCTCCTTTGGGGTTTTCTTATCTCAAACCCCGAGATGACTCCCTTGGGCGTGCGGCAGAGGAGATGCCACAATCACAAACGGAGAGATAATTGCACCTTCCCCTCTAAAGGTAAAAGTTCCCCTCGCACCTATGTGCAAATCGTTCCCCACTCTAGGGGGCGGTGCTCATCTCCGTTTCAAAGCCGAAGAGCCAACGCTGCCCGAAGATGTCTCCGTGGTCATGTGGCCGGCATGACTCAACTCCCGAAGCCGCTCGGAACGCTGTTCCCTTCCCACCAAAGGTGGTTCCTGTTTTTCTACTTGCATTTATTACCTGCTTTCAAACTGCTCGGTTGGCAGAAGCTGGGACAAGTCACGGGAGCTCACTCTGTTACGCGGCGTTCGGGATTCGAACCACTAAATTGCCGACCTTTCTGATTGACAAGCCCACCGCATCCCTTAAATCTTCTCCTGTAGCTCTTTCCAAATGGCCTCCAAACAAACTGGACAAAACCTCCCCCCCCTCTTTGTTCCTTGCCGAGGCAAAAAGAGGACCCCACCCCCAATCATTATTCCAGGAAGACAAGTGCCCTCCCCCCCCAGGAAGTGAACTCCAGAAGAAGGGAACGTTTTGTGGGTGACTTTTTAATTACGATTTCTTAATTGGAGTTTTTGAAGGCAGCCAGAAGAACCTCAAATGGAGTCCAATGGAAATAACATTTGAGGGGCTGCCCCAGAGAGGAGAGGGGTCAAGTTTATTTCCAAGTCACCTGAAGGCCACACAAGGAATAATGGATGGAAACTGACCAAGGAGAGATTCAACCTGGAAACAAGGAGGAATTTCCTGACAGGGAGAACAATCCACCCATGGAATAGAAGTCGTGGAGCTTCATCCCTGGAGGCTTTGAAGAAGAGACTCGACTGCCCTCTTTCAGAAATGGTGTAGGGTCTCCTGCTTGGGCAGGGGGTTGGACTAGATGACCTACAAGGTCCCTTCCAACTCTGTTAATTTGTAAATGATATTAAGATTCTAGAAAGAATGCAGAGAAGAGCAACCAGGGTGATGAGTGGACTGGAGATTAAAACATACAATGAACAGTTGCAGGAACTGGGCATGCCTGGTCTAGGGAAGAAAAGGACGAGGGGAGACAGGATAGCAGCCTTCCAATATTTGAGGGGCTGCCCCAGAGAGGAGGAAGGGGGTCAAGCTATTCTCCAAAGCAACTGAAGGCCAGACAAGGAAGAATGGATGGAAACTGACCAAGGAGAGATTCAACCTGGAAATAAGGAGGAATTTTCTGACAGTGAGAACAATCAACTCCATGGAACAGAAGTTGCCTTTGGAAGTTGTGGGAGCTTCATCCCTGGAGGCTTTCAAGAAGAGACTGGACTGCCATCGGTCACAAATGGTGGAGGGTCTCCTGCTTGGGTGGGGGGTTGGACTAGATGACCTATAAGGTCCCTTCTAACTGTGTTTATCTACCTACCTACCTACCTACCTACCTACCTA